CTCACGGGAGACTCAATCGAATTTCCCGTTTATGATGTCCTCCAACTGAATGTGCTGCACACAGGCCGCCTCATGAAGGCACGATATTCGAGATATCTTAAAGGAAACTACTTAAAAGTTTGCTGAAAACTCTTCGACAGCTGTCGTTTTCTGATAAACAATGCGAGTCGTGATGCATAACGGACTCTAAAAGTGCAAAACACATGTGAGGCCAACAGCTAATGGGCACTACAGTTGATCTTCAATGAATCGGCCCTGCGATAAGGCGTAGTGTCCATTGAAATAGCAACAGCACACCTATTCCGAATTGTGTTTGGGCGGTGAAACATTGAGAAATGAAATCGTTCTTAGCCAGAAATTCATTTACGTTGATAAATGAGGGTGGCTTTAACCGGTGTCGTAACTACTGGAATAAAATGTATCCGAACCAAGTAGAACATGAAGTTGGTGGATACTTGGGGACTGCGTCTACCTGATGAGCCCCAAGAAATCGGGCGAAACTGGTCGTGGGCTGTCCAAGAAGTTTCAGCAACCTTTTGAGTAGTGCATCACGCACAAACCTCAAAGTCTTTTTTCGCTAGTCACTCAGGCTACGTGGTTATCAACTCTTTATACAATAGTATCTTTGGTAAGCTGCGACATATCTTCACTTATTGAAGCTTTATGGGGCGAATATTAGTTGAACGCTCATGGAGCGAAGCACATTTCGGAAGTTCCCACCGTGCTAATTCGACTTCAGTCACAGAGCTCGGTGTTCACACGATTCGAAGACTTGGTAATAACTTGACATTTCAAATACGGGCGTTTCCCAGGCGCATAGTAGCTGGATCCTATTGGGACAGCTGAGAGGTCGCAACATCCAGTTATTGATTAGTTTTTGGTCACATTTTGAACCGCAGCAACTGTCATCTAGTTTGATGTGCATCAGTGTGTGTATTTGACCCAGGCTTGGTTAGCCTAAATTGATAAGTGGGGATGTTGCTTAGGTTATATCCTTGCGACTTGCGTGCTTGTGTTTGTATGACTTTGTATGTATGACTTTGTATGAAATCGTGCTTCAGTCGACTTGGGCTCAGATTAAAGGAACTTCATCGTCTACCACACCTAGAGAAATCGTCGGCGAATGCAACTGCGGCAGCTATAAATACTGTGTGACAAGCAAGCAGCTGAAGATTTTGGTGACGTAGAGCATACCGTTGTACGGGCTGGGTTATCACTGTCCACTTCAACAACATTACGTGTACCGATGCGGAACAGCCGAGTTCACCAACTTTGGCGAATTTCAGTAGCCAAGCTGGCCTGTCTAGAAGCGTTCTGAAAAGGTACAATCATGCGGTTGAAGATCATCGGTTGCATGTTGAATTTAATCAAGGTGCAGAAATTATGCTCTCAAAATTTACAACTGTCTTGTAGAGGTCACTCACCACTAGATCACGCATCACAAACATTCAGACCACGTGACAATTCTGGTCCCACTTGCAACCTTAGCCGACTATGTGTACACTACATATTCTCATCCATTTTTGTTTACGCGGCTACCACTTGCGTCACGCGTCAGACTTATGAACTTCAACACATCACGTCAGGTTGTATTCATATTCGTGCAAGCATCAGACACGAAGGGACACTCCTCTCTTCACGCTGCATAGAAATTTTTGAAAGTGAACACAAAAAGATTATCTTACCGTGTGATTTGATGCGTCTGTTAGCCAGCTTCTCTGTCGATGCGGTCGAAACAAGACTGTCCAGACAACTTCGATACCATTCTTCTGCAACAGACTTTGAGTCGATCGGTTGTGGAAATAATGCGTTTGAGTTGAAAACCAAGAGACTTAGGCTAGAAAATTCGTCCAACTTTGTCGACGCTGAGTTCGAAGGGTACCGGTGTGCGTACCAGGCGTGGCACGGACTCTTGGCACAGGAGGCGATTGGATACTGCTGACCCGTCAGACGATCAAAAGGAGCTGCTGTTTCCTCGTCCAATTCGTTGGTGATGATGGGATAGGGATAAGGGTTTGAAAGATGCTGGAAGTAAAAATACGAAGAACAATATCCATACAGCCATCAGAATGTTGACAGATCTGATCTAAGCAAAAAAGTGGGGTAGTGAAACAGGGATCCCACTCAGTTCTTGTCTGGTCAAAAACAACCCTCATACATCGTTGTACATATTACTAAATGCAGCAGAGGAGCAAAACCGACATTCACAAGTAGAAATTAATTCAAAGTGTCCAAACAATGCGTAGGCACATACTTCTAGATCCCAGTGGCATTCATATAGTTTCACTCAGCGTGAGTTCGTGAAATTTTTACTACGCAAAAATCAACCTCAAAATTGATACACCGAAGCTAGTTTACACCCCACTACGATTAGGACGATGCCCAACAAACGGCAAGGTCAACACGATTCTGAAAGTGGCAGAGTCGCCGTGACGTGATCATGATCTGCCGCATGGTTTGAAATACGCTCCACACCTGCAAAGTGTAGTGTTGCCGCGAGGTACCTCATGCTCGCAGGTGGGCCAATCGACGTAATAGGTAAATTTGTTTACCTGGGCAGCTGTATAAGTCCCGGTGGATTGGCTGGAGATGAGATTTCTTCTCGAATCGGGAAGGCCAGGGCAGCTTCTGCGTACCTCCAACACTCATGGCACTGACACAATGTCAGTTTATCTGTCAAGGGCAGAGTTCAGACTGCGGCAGTCGTTTACACTGCGATGGTGCGCTTGTAGAGGTCACTCGTCAGATCACGTGTCACAAACACTCAAACCACGCGACAATTCCTGTCCCACCTGCAACCTTGGCCGACTTGTACACTGCGAATTCTCATCCATTTTTGTTAACTCGGCTACCACTTACGTAACGCGCCAGGCTTATGAACTTCAACACATCAGGTCAAGTTGTACTCACGTACGTGCAAGCATCAAACACCAAGGGACACCCCTCTCTTCACAATACACACCATAAATAGGCATAAAACTAGGCTCAACACATGCTCGCGCGCAAAAGACAGGAAGTCAACAGACCTCCGCAAGACTCCACGGACAACTATGGAACACATGGAGCAGATATACTGCAGAGAAGACACGTCCCACGTCCGGAACTTCACTCAGGATCTCTCAACATTTGTCCTCAAACGATAAGTCACTTTTCGGTTTATTCCCTTCTTGCCTCGTACTTATCTTTATCAAGTGCGTCTAACTCTTGTATTTATCACATTCTAGTAAGGCAGGCACTTGTTAGTGCTTGTTACCTTCTGATAATCAACTTAATTACGTCACAACTCGGGCACTAACCATTGATGAGTCCGACGCGACCCTTATACCATGTCACTTCATCCAGTACAAGATATTCCCTCACCTTCAATCACACCACCTCTGTCCATCTTCCACCATTCTGGCACCACGATCCAAGTTCAGTTTGCCCTTCGCGGAATCACACAGAAGCATACAATGTATTACCACGTGGTTGCAGAACTCTCTCCCGAAATCGCAGCCGATTACTGCAACGCGACAAGAAACTCGGTTGGGATGACTTGCACACCACGCACTTCAGAGTGTGACAAGGCCCTGGTGAGCATTCCGATGATTCTACTGCGAAGGATTTCAGAAGTACATACAGTATCAAGGGAATAGAGCGCCCCAATGTGGTACCTGTCTGCAAAAGGGGCCCAAGATCGTATTGTGGTACCAGCTTCGTGAATGTCATCTGAAATGCTCTTTGCCATTATTTTGAGCAGGTTGATTGATTCCTGGGAGAGAAAACCTCGCGATAATCGAGTTGAGTATCACTCGGGATGAGGACGATTAAATCTTCACCTTTGGGAAAATTTTTGAGAGGAATCACTCTTTTAAGCATCCTAGATTGGTCACTTTTCATGATCCAGAAGCTTCTTTTGAGCCCGGTAGACGTAAGAAACGTTGACGATGTTCAAATTTAGTTCTCTAATGTGGTTACTGGTCTAGAGGGTCTCCGAAACCCTGGTGTTTAAAAAGCCTGTGAAGAAAACCTTGTCAATCTGGAATATGCAGACGACATCGTTCTCATGTTCGAAGAAGAGGAGGCGCAGGTGTTTCTGGATGAACTGATCAAAGTCATCCCGTCCTTTGGTATGCACTTTGCACCTACAAAGTGTAAGGTCATGCTCGTGGACGTGCTGTCACTGAACACGTCACCTACAATCCAGGGAGAGGTATTGGAAGTTGTGGAGCGTTTTACGTATCTTGGAAGTTGTATTAGTTCTGATTGTAGTGTGACAGATGAGGTGAATGCACGAATCCGCAAGGCTCGGGTCGTGTTTGCTAATTTGAGGCACCCATGGCGTCAGAATGATTTATCCCTGAATCTGAATGGACGGGTGTATCAAGCTACAGTACGGGCTGTTTTGTTGTATGGCTGTGCGACTTGGCCTATTCGAGCAGCGGAACTGAGACGTCTTCAGGTGTTCGGCGGTCGGTGTCTCAGAACCATAGCTCGTGTGGGTTGGTGTCGGCGAATCCGTAACGAGGCAGTTAGAAAGCGCGTTTTCGGTTGTGCAACGGGTACTTCTATTGAAGAATGTGTTCAGAACCAAAAGCTGCGTTTGTTGGGACATGTGTTGCGTATACCGAACCATCGTTTGCCGAAGAGAGTACTGTTTTCCATGCCCAATTCAGAGTGGCGGAAGCAGAGAGGTGGCTAACCCTTGACTTGGCAGAGGAGTATGAAGGAGATCACGAAACGCTTGGGTGCTGTCGGTGCTACTCGCCTTCCAGGATGGGGACCGC